TCCAGGAGCACACCCAAACTGTGAACCTAACTTTTCAGAGGGAGTGTACCCCATCAAGTACATTGTATGGAGAAGGTACATTTGTGAACTTCAGGTTACGTTGTGGTTCCTTGGAGCAACAGGGGACAAAGTGGCTTGGGTTGGGCAACACTATGTAAAGGTGCTGCTTTAACTTAATTAAACACTCAAATCCAGCAGAACACAAACTTTCAATATACACACATTCAGCCCAAAAATAAACTATTAAAAAGAAAAATCAAAGCAATCTGCAACATGTGCCCTATCTGAGCTGGAAGGCTTAGCCAGGTTCAGGATAAAATATCATGCAAGAGAAGATAAGCACCAGGATCCTCCTCAGAGACCCTCCCCACACTCTGAAGAATGTGGGAGATGTCCTTGGTCTCCTTTGGGGGAGTTGTGAAGCTGTCATTCTTTATCTCTATTTTGTCATTTGTTGCTACCTCTGTGTCTACCATATTGGTATTGTTGCTTTTTGTTCCCCTTTCTCTGCTTTTCAGAACACCTTTTTCAAAACCATAATATTTTTAGCCCTCCAAATTCCCAATTTTTCTGGTGTGATAAGGGATAGTCTCATTCCACACTGAAAGCAAATCAAATTTCCTTGCTTTGATTTGGGGTATTACTGAAATAACACAAATACTCCTGATCTGAGCTGCAATTGAGCAATCATTCAAAGCCAGTACCCAGCTTTACCATCCAAAGCTCTAGGCTGACACTGCAATTTTAACAAATTATGAGCATCACTTTCAATTTGCAAACAGAAAAAAATATCATTTTATGTTGAGATTTCCACATTAATAGATAAAGGAGTAATGCAGCTCTATTATATAATTTTAAAAAGGCACAAATCTAACAAAATCCCATGCTAAACGTCTAGATTTCCTTCGGTAGCTGCTCACCTTTTCAAAAAGGTATATAGATTCTCCAGCTCTGGCATCCATCTGAATGCTCCCCCAAAACCACTAAAAGACGACAAAAGCATTTTTACATTAGTACAAGAGTCTGTCATCTCAACATTAAAGACGAGTGCACTAGCTAAATTATTAACTATGTTAATAGTTTATACAAAAAGAAAGATTACGAATCCAGTGTATTCTGGTAAAACTGACCTCCTGCTTTACAACATAAAGGTTTTCTGATGGTTCAAATGGAATGTCTTTGACTGTGTTTTCTTCGACTATGAGGTGAGTGCACTTTTCATCACCGACAGGCAAATATTGTCCACCTACAGTCAAAAGAGGACAGATAGGATTAATCTCTTCCTTCCTAAGCCCTATTCTTAATTTTCAATATAATCAATGCAGTAATGTGAAGAAAAATAAATATGGTCGTAGTACTATATCCCATTGGGAAATGGACAAAATATAGTTCCCAACAACCATTTACAAAATTTCATTTACAGACAATAAGCATGGCAGACATGGATAAATTCAGCAGATCTGACAGCCATTCTCTCCTATACATATTACAGAGCACACCCCACCAGAAATGTTCTGGCATTTTTTTAAATTTTTGTTTGCTTTACAATGTTTTAAAAAACACCTTAAAATCATGCTTTTAACAAAGCAAGATTGTGTGCTTTCCTCTAAAGGAATATCAACAGTTCTCCAGGTTTTACATTAATAACAACAATTTTTTTCCTGGGCAGCAGCACAAGGAATGTAAATATAGGCAGGGGATGTATGTGAATGTTAATCACCTCTGAGATAGAGATATTTGTATTTGCAATGCAGACAATCACTAAATACTAGGTAAAATCCAGATGTAATGGGCTGCTCTGTGATATTGAAACTCTTTAATTCTCAAGAACACAAAAGTGCCCATCTGTGTAACTGCCTCTGAAAATACATACAGTGGTGCCTCGCTTGACGACATGAATTCATTCCAGCAAAATCGCTGTAGAGCGAAATCGTCGTCAAACGAAATTAAAAAAACCCCACTGAAACACACTGAAAACCGTTCAATGCGTTCCAGTGGGCTAAGCACCTGCTCGTCCAGCAAAGATCCGCCATACGGCAGCCATTTTTTGGTGCCTGTCTAGCGAAAAAACATTCCTGAAAACAGCGGGGGGGGGGGTTTTTCTACAGCTGGCAGCCATTTTGAAACCCGACAATCAGCTGCTTGCTGATCGTCGTAAAGCGAAAAATCGGTTCCTGAAGCAGGGAACCAATCAACGTTAAGCGAAATTCCCCCATCTAAACACCGTTTTGTGATCGCAAAAACTTCAACGCTAAGCGGATTTGTCGTAGAGCGGGGTAATCGTCTAGCGGGGCACGACTGTACTAACATGCCATCTGCAGTAAACACCCAATATTTAGACCTACTTTAGATGGTTAATAAGCGTCCTAAAGTCAAAAGCAAAGCATATGAATCTACAAATGGGCAAAACCTACTGACAGTGGACAGCTTACTAAACACACCGTCACCTGCTGTAATATATCTGCAAGTACAAACATTAAGGTCAGTGCAAGGTCACCTACGTTCCTTCTAATTTTCAGCCCTGCTGGGAAAGGCTCCATCTCTCGTGCGCACAACTCCACTCGCCCCCCCACGGGATTCTGATACAACCAGAATCAAAGGAGCTGAAAATGATAGCTGTGGGTAAGCATAGGAGGAGGAGGAATGCTGAACGCAGGGGGCACATTCGCACACCTTAGAGGGAACCTTGGTGATAACAATAAAGAAAGGGTGGAACTCTGTCTCATCAACACCATAAGGACCTTCTGGCTACACACAATGTATCTCACAATTTCTACACCAGTAACAGTTTTTTCCATGTTCAGGTAAAAAGTCAAGAGTATCTCACAGCATTGTTTTATCACAAGAGCTCTTTCATACTTACCCTGCATTTCCGTCATTTCTTCCATATTCTTCTTCTCATCATCAGAGAATCCAAAAAAACTTAACTTGCAGTCCTGGAATGGGGGAACTTTAAATTCCTTCCTGAATTCCTCATTTGCAGCACAGAAGTCACTAATAAAGGGAAAGGAAAAAAGAGCATTTTCAAACCATCTGCACTTTTGCTATACAAAGCAGCGTTTCTGTTCACTGTCATGCTGATCGAAAGGAAGGACAAGTAGCAAATATCAATGCTACACAAGGCCTCACTTGAGAAAGTTTATACATACATGTCATTTCTTCTTTCCCAAGATTTATAAATCCACTCTGCTTTCATGATTGGTGTACCTAGACTCACAGCTACCTGTAAAGCAAGACAGGAACAGACAACAAGGCGTATTCTTTTATATCTCAGGCATTTAAACATGCACAAGAAATGAAACTGATTAATCCAGAAAAGATCTTTGCAAACTATAAGGTAATCAATTAGCAGTACTGACTAACAGAAAAGATCATCAGTTTGGTTGAGTGGGTAAAAGCCAACGCTCTATACTTACAAACATTTTTTGTTAAAAAGCTTTTAGAAGATTTTTAACAATTTATTTAAAGGCAGTTGCTGCTGTTTTTAATGCCAGCTTAATTAAGAAAACTTTGTGTGTGTGTGTGTATACACACACACAAAATTAATAACATTGAAATCAAATGCAAAAAGTAGATCTTCCTGGAACTTTCTCCTCTCCATAGCTGTCTACTTTTTGCATTTGATTTGAATGATATTAATAGTCTCAAAGATATTTTTTGTCGAAATAGGAGATAGGACATCAAATGTGTTAACTAAATGAGCCTGCTCACTCGCAAATTTGTTTAGCTGCAAAATTTGGTTATTTATTTATTTATTTATTGTCATTGTAACCCTAAACCTCTCTTTTAAAAAAAGAAACCACAGGCAAGTATCACCTTTATGAGTAGCATTTGAATTGTGACACACATGTACATGTACATGTATGTATATTGAAGATGTTCAAAAGTAAGACCAAATCAGAAAGTAGCATTGTATCAAGCTCACACTTTCCTCTCCTTGAATGAAAAGTTTAGAAGCTTAGTAACATACGAATGCCTTATATGGAGTCAGACCATTGGTCCACTGTCGTCAACTCTATCTGGCAATGGCTCTCAAGAAGGGAATTCTTCCAGCTTTATATAAGAATGCTGACAACTGATAGTCTGCATGTAATACTACTGTTGAGCTACAGCTGAGTTCTCCATAATTTCTGACTCCACATGCAGGCTACAAGATTAAGGACTTGGAGTTATATATGTAAGATACATTAAGGTTTTGTTTAGCTGCAAAATTTGGTCATTTATTTATTTATTTATTGTCATTGTAAGTATGTACACAGTATACCCATACAATGAAATTCACAGACACCCAGAGACCAGACACATGCACACACATAAAATTCCCCAAACACTCCCCACAACTAATTAGTGTATACATAGTCCATCTGAATTAGAACAATATGAAATGTGAATTAGAAGTGAATCTACTTGATTTAAGTTTCCAAAAAGGGCAGATTTAATTCAATTTCATTCAATGATTTATATCTACCCAAGTTTTCAATAAATGATTTACTTCTATCCACCATGATATTTGGAAATGAGCCACCTCATTATAACCTGGATAAATGCATCATGAACTTAAAAATGAACAAGTTCTTTATTTGACTAGGACATAAACAGAAGAAAAACGCACACTTGCCCATGAAAGACTTTAAAAAAATCTTTTGCCCATCAGTAAACTTTTAAAAAAATTCAAGTTATTGTTTTAACTTTGACGGATTGTGCATGAGAACAAAACAAGACTATAATTATTTATCAGTTGATGGCCAGCCAGCTTCATAAGCATTATTTCAGTTCAAGATCCCTAATAATAATAATTGTGTGCCACTGAGTTGATTCCGACTTATGACAAGGATCTGTAATAGATATGGGTCCCTATGAAAAGAAGTCAAACACTTTTATTCATTAATTATATTGTCAGGAGAGGAAACGGTGACAGAGCATGTGGTTTGCATGTAGATGGTCCCAGGCTCAGACTCATGCAGCTCCACAAATGGGTGGGGAAAAAACTCCAGACTTGAAACCTTGGAGAGTCACTGGCAGTTTGATGCAGAAAAACAGTGGGCTAGATAGACCAATGGTTTAGCTCAATATATAGCAGTTTCTTATATTCCTAAGTATGCAAGTTACTAAATGAAACATTTTTCACTTAAGTTTTATAGAGTTCTTCCTGACCTCATATTCTTTGAAGAGATATTGCAAAATATTATGTCCATCTCTTAAATCTTATCATTATGATCAAGAGCCTGAAATTCAACATTATTCCATCCTGCACATATATTGGGTAGGAATGCCTTCACCTCCGGCTGATGGAATTAAAATTTAAGATATCAAAGCAAGTATTAAAGAAAGAAAGAAATCTCCTAAACAACACTAAAACCCCTATGGCTTTTCATAGTAGTGGGGAAGAAGTAGTGATGGGGAAGCCTGAAGAACATAACAGCCCTGAAAAGCGGGCAAAGGTATCAGCAAATACAGTACTAGATGTGCAGTTGTGCTCACAGAGATAGATCAGATGCAGACCTGAGCATATTAACCCTGTATGAAAGCCTAGCAGCTATGTATTCCACATACCGAAGTTAATATTTTCAGGCAACTTTCCCTTGCTAGGTTACAGCCAGATCACCACAGCTTTTAAACTCTTCTATTTCAGACATTTGGACATCACTAACATCTACATTCACCAAATACTCACCAACACATGGCTTCTTACACGTGCTCCAAAGAAACCTTCTGCACCAAACCCCCAAAATTATAGTGGAATTTACATACTCTGAATTTGTCTCCTTGTGTAGAATTTGCTACCAGATGAGTAACTTTTGAGCTGAAATCCCGTCGAATAATGCCTCCCATATGGTGTACCAAAGTGACCATTTTAACCTATGAACAAAGTTGGAGTACAGTTTATTTTCTATTCATTTTTGAATTACTGTTAAATGCAGCTACTGTGCTAACTAGAACACAAGCTTAATATGCCTTTTTTTCCTGGCCTAGTTCTTCAAACTGCTCTGCTATGGAGGATCGACAGTATCCCACAAAACACTAAGGCTAGATGCTACTAACTTTTATATATCACACTGCATTCATGCTCCTTGCAGGAAGATCTCATAGTGGAATACACAGTGCTATGTCCATTTCAGTTTCACAGCAATACAGTACTGCAAATAGGACCAACATGCATCACTCAATTGAAGATTGCCCAATAAATTTCAAAACTGAATGGAAATTTGAACAGTCAGTATCCCTACCTCATATCCAATATACAATGTATTACGTAACTGGATTTTAGAGAAAATGTATACTCCTGGATATCTACTATCCTATACAACTGGGAAAGTTGGAGAAATTGAATTTTTGTTCACTAGCTAAATACTCATGTAACACTGCTACAACTGCTGGATAGCTCAACGGAGAAGTTGGGAGGTTCAATTCCCCACTGTGCCTCTCCTGACAGAGACTGGACTCAATGACCGATAGGGTCCCGTCCAGCCCTGCAGTTCTAAAATTATTACTATTAATCAGTAGTGTGATCAAATAAAATGTCCAAGCACTTGCTATACACTCTATCCACCAACTTTCCAATTACTATCTGAAAGCAGAGGTAAGATGTGTGTAAGTAAGACTAACGTACCAGTTCTTCTTTCTTTCTGAAGCCTGTAAAGCACAACACAAGATTCAACATGCTTGTACAATACAGCGGGCGGCATGAAAAAGGCAGAGGCTGAAACAAAGTTAAAATGGCTAGTTATGATATTTTCCAAGAAAAAACAGCCACATCTATCTGTTGCTGCAGCAAGACCAAAGAGGCTTGAGGCATTTCAAAGATTAGTATGGCGTAAACATTTGAAGTTTCTTTGCTATTTTCATCAAAAATCTTAGACAATTTAGCTAATATAAGTGAAAACCACAATTCTGTAGGATTAACACTACAATGCATGGATCAACAACCCCAGCTCATTAATAGTATGGCAAAGGGGGTTGCTTCCCAATAGGTTCTTTCCATTCTGCTCTGATTAACATCCAGAAATCTCAATATAAGGCCATCATTGGCTTATCAATGGCTGCTTGTGGAAGAAATTCCACATAGATGACTATGCATGACCTCCAGTATTGGAAACATAAGTCTCACAGTAACAGGGTGCCACTACATTCATGTTCCATTTTCAGTAGCATCTGTTCAGCCACTGCAGGAACAGAATTCTAAACTAGAAAAGCTTTTATTTTACCCAAGCAGCCTTACATTCTTAAGAGGTGAAGCCATATACACACAGTACAGCAAGAGTAGATAAAAATTAATGTGTGTGATTTTAGAATCCATTGGATTTAAATCACAATTTACATTTAATTTTTTTAACTTTAAATCATGATTTAAATCAATTTGAATTTGAAACCCTAAATACAGTGGTGCCTCCGGATTAACCTTCACTATAGCGAAACATCGCTGAACGGGGCAGGAAAAGCCATTGGAACGCATTAAACATTGTTTAATGCGTTCCAATCAGCTTCTTTACTCACCGTTCAGTGATGTTCCGGGATGGCTGGCAGCCATTTTCGCGCCTTCCCCTCGCTTAACGAGGGCGCGAAAACGCTGCACACGGCCATTTTGGGGCTTCTGGTGGCCATTTTGGCAGCCGAACAGCTGATCGTCGTTGCTTCGTTTTGCAAAGATCGGTAAGTGAAACGCTTACCAATCTTCGCAAAGCGAGTTTCACCCTATCTAAAAGTCGTTGAGCGATCACATTAGCGATCCCAAAAAAGGGATCGCTATGCGATTTCGTCGTTGTTCGGTGCACTCGTTAAGCGAGGCACCACTGTACAAGTTTTGTCTAGTGACAGATTCTTTGGGTTCAATAGCCCAAATATTCCTTGCAGATACTGTACGATGATTTGCAGTATTTGTCTCAAAAACAAGCTAAAGGTTTGTACTATACTTGCACCTATGTAGCCACAATGGAATAACTGTACACATAGCAAACATTTCAAGAGTATTCCTCAAAGCTTCATTGTTCAGGATTTTCAGAAATCTTTGTGTATTTTTGTACATAAGAGTATGATAATGAAATGGAAGCCAAGGAAATGTATACTGACTGCTGTTTAATTGATTTATGGTGTCATAATTTATTATGCTTTTACTGGTAATTTTGTAAAGCTTTATCATTTCTGCTTGTTTATAAACCACCATAGATTACCTTGAAAATCTATGTGGAATTTCTTCTACATAACACTCAAGTAAGAAATACATTTTTAAAACAATAAAGAACCTTTACCGGGAATTAAACATATGCATGCTTTCTGTCTAAAACAGAAGAAAGCTATTTGAAGATCAGCTGCATTCTTACCTCGCCTTTTCTGGCACACTGCAATACTATTGGGGGACCAAGGACTCGACAGTCTGCCTTGCACAAGTGATTGAAAATGGAATCTTGAAAGTCTGTTGTCACAAAAACCGTCTCGAATTCTGGTGACTCAGAATCTTCATACTCTTCCACCGATTCAGTCTTTATGAAAGGCACTTTAATTTCCTTCAGGTATTTAGGAAGAATTCAAATGTTATTTATACAATATAGCCAGTATCAAATTACCCATCTGTCCCTGAATTGTTTCAGAAGGATTAATCCTTTTAAAAGTATTTATTGAAGCAACCATTCAATTTGAAGCTAGTTCAACAGATATGTGATTGTTTTTCTCAAACCGAAACAAGTTGTAATACAAATAATTCAAGTTCCATTTCATAAGTATGAGACACATTACTTTAACAATCACAGTAACTCATAAATTCAGAGCACATGCCAACATGTGAACTATTTCAAAACTGTTCCAAGTTTCAGTTTAACTAGCTTTTCTGTGCACCATTTGCTTCTCGTGATTTTAATCTGATCCCTTTACCAAATGATGAAAGCAGTGATTCTCCCACGTCCGCCTCCGATAGTGCAACATGCTGCATGCAGACACATACACACAATTGCCCCCAACATACCATATGTATAATGCTTTTTATTAGTTTTTCTTCTGTTTTACCAGAACTAGATTCCTTTATCTTTATTACTGGAACTTCCATTATCCTAATGGTCTGCAGAAGAGGAGAACTACAGCATGAGAATGAGATTATAAAACCAAATCCCAATTACAACAAGACTTTTCAATACCAAAAATAATTCCACTTACCTCCAAAGCTTTCTGAAGCTCTTCACATTTTGCAGCTTCTTTAACTAGAACAACTCTGGTTTCAACCTGGGGCATTTCCTCTGTATATTAGGAGTGGGAAAATAATTATCATCCAAAACGTATTACAAATAAGGGCTTTTTCAATCTTCATTCTCAACAAGTGGTAAAGATTTAGGAGAAGAAACCTATTCTTTCCAATCACATACAGTCTCTGTACAGAGCTTTTATTCCCAATTTTTATTTCTTTTAGAAAGTAAAGCTATTCAAGAATAATTCTTGTGATGAAACAGGAATCACCTTGCTGTCCTCTCACTACATTTAGAGAAAATATAGGCTACTCACTGGGCAATGCAGAAGTTCCTTATGCAAAAGTCACTATGGATGACAGGTATCTACTCAAGAACTAACTACAGAAACAGAGTTATAAGTGTTCTGCCAAGAAGCTAGATTTCTGCTTCTTTTTCCATGGCTTAATAAAGCTACCCACTATCCCAGCACACACAAATGCAACAAGAAGTGTGCTGCAGAAAGGTTTCCATAATTCCCAATTGTTTAAGGCAAAAGAATGCCTTCATTCTGTTGATATGCCCCACTGCCCCACCTGAGGATTGTCTTCTACCCCTACTGTATCAACAGTAGCACCACTATATTCCTTTAAAACAGGGTGTGTGTAGAGCTCAAACACTGCTGTTAACACACACTTTTAAGTTTCATCGATTTTCTGGAAGTATGATCCAACTTGTGGGGGGAGGCTTATGGTCCCCATAGGTAACTGGGTCACACAAAAAACTTATTCTTACAGCTCTGTAAAGATCAGTTGTCGCTGTGTAAGCCATCTTTCAGGGAATATTACCTGTCATTACTGAAGATAGCTAACAAAAAACTAAGGAACCTGTTTTCCAAATATAATTTGAAAGCGTCCATCTCAACTATCATTAAAGTCTTTGTGTCTATTTCCTCTTTACCACCTGAATATTTCTAAATGGTGGTTTTTCTTTCTTCAAAGAAAAAGCTAGTGTATGTCCCACCACTACCTGAGGAGTGATTGATGCACATAAGATAATCTTCTTGATAATGAAATCTTGATTATAGGATACATTGTTCCAAGGAAACAACCTCCCAGACCCCATCAGGCAACAATTGTGCACTTTCTTGTTCAGATGGCCTGCTCTTCAGTGTATATTCAACTTTATGAGTGTAGCTTTGACACTCACTGATTTTTAGGATTTGCTACTGTAATTTTTACTAAAATCAGCAGGTGCAGGTCTCCACTGGGAAGCCCAAAGGCAAGATAGCAATACTTTAATTAAATAAAATATTTCTGTAACTACAATGCCTGCATTACATTTTTATTTTGTATAGGTACAGGGAGCTACAAACACATATTGTCCAATAGTATGCAATCAAACTTTCACATTCTAGAATAATGAAAGTGCACTTTGTTTAGTATTACAGCATTGCAATGACGATATACTACAGGATAATCTTAATACAAGCAGCCACAGTCTAGCTTTGAAGTAAATGCTGACCTCTTTTACCTTCCACATCTGAAGCAGATCGAATGAATATGTTATCCTTGGAAGTTTCTGTAATTTTGGAGTCAAGAATAGAAGTATCTGCCAAGAGACTCCTCCCTGTATCAGACACAAGTGTACTGTTGTCAGCCATGGTCAAAGTAACATTTCCCTTCTTCAGCTACAAGAGAAATATGCAATAAGGAAAATGTCAGGAAACACATACACATATTTATCACAAATATCAGAGGATTGGATTGACATGTTATCAATTGGCCAGTTACACGCAGCAAAGGCATTACAAATTGTAACCCAATGTCCAGACTTGCTAATGGGCTGGATAGGGACCGGTAAACTGAAGACAAATCCTGACAACACAGAGGTCATGTAGCTACGCGGTTGGCACATTTGAGAATCTGGTGTTCTCTAGAGAAGCTTATATTTCTCAGCACTGAACTCTACTAACATTGGTGGCTGGGAGTATATTTTACTGTCTTCAACAAGTTCATCAGCTATGATAATTCCTGGTTAGGGAAAGTATGGCCACAATAGTTTGCAACCTGATTACACTAATCCTATCAGGAGATTATGAGTTTCATGTGGGCCTGCACTAATGATGTCAAGCAAACTTCAGCTGGTATATAATACAGCATCTCGAACTGCAACCACCAGTACAGCCAAAAGGCAGCATCACATCACACTGATTCTGAAGGAGGTGAACTAGCTGGCTATTCACTACTAAGCACAATTCAAGCAGCAGATGCGTACCGTTAAAGCACTACACATCTTTAGAATCAAATATCTACAGCAGAAACGTCCTCTATAATATCTCCATATTACTTAAGTTGTCAGTTTACAATAATCTCCCAGATACCTGTGCTCCAGATCTTTTGGCAAGGAATTGTTAGCCCCAAAACCCACTTGCTTCCATGTAAACAAAATGGCATACTTCATCACACCACAAAAAGGAAGCTTTGCAGATCGAATGTTATTTGACCAGCTTTGTAAAACCTAGCTTTGCTAAATTTAGAGTAAAAACCAGGTGCCAAATTTGATCTGCCCAAAAAGAGCATAATCATCATGACATGAAAAGCATAAGGACAAAACATTTCTTGAAATCATTTTTCAAACATTAATTTTAAAGCTGCCACAATATCTAATTGCCAAGCAAAAAAGAAAAGAAGAAGAAATTAGACATGACCCTGCAAATATTATAAAAGGCTTGTTTCATTCATTATCTACAAAGTATGACAATCTTTTTTAAAAAAACTCTTCTTTCCTGCAGCCACAGAGTATCTTCCCATTTCAGTATCTTCAGCCTACTGGAAACTCACAAGCTGGGTGAACCATGTGCTTAGAGTAGCAAACAAGTACCATGGAGCTCAGCAACAAAGAACCTGCTTTTTCAGCAATTACCAGGCATATGAATTAGGCCTTATTCACAAGATCAGTGAAGTATAAGTCAGTGGACAATGGAGCAAAGAGAGGCAGTACCCCTGGTGATGAGATCAAAGCTTCCTGCAGCCAGATTAAAACCCACCATTGCACAGTCTCTAACATTTCTTTTATGAGATCTATTCCACCACATTCCAACATTTCAGGTCATTCAACAGTATATTTCCCAAATAAAAAACAATCAGATGTTAATTACCATTCCACAAAAAGTTGCATTTGCAATGTCAAATGCCTACCTGCAGTTTTTCCAAATCTCTTTTTAAAGTATCATTGAAAGTATCCTCTTGAAAAACAAAGCTACATGTCAAAAGAATCTAAAGGTTATATAAAAAAAGAAACAGACTCGCTTTGCCAGGATAAAAGCCTAAGGCACAGCAACAATTTGAACACGACTCTCCCAAGCAGACCCAAATCAAAAGCAATGTTAGTAATGACAGAGATGTATTTATTTATTTATATCCCGCCTATCTGGTCTTACGACCACTCTTCCCAATACTAACATTTCTATATGTCAAGAACAGCCAATAATGCATGCCAGAGCCAATGCTCTAATGTTAAGCGATGCCAACAAAGTATCACTTGAGAGATTCATGAAGTTACACAGCTTCCTGAAGAGACACCTGGGCAGGATTGCTAGATATCCTTAACTCTTCGATCCTAGAGAGTAGCTCTGGTGGGAAACTCAAAATAAGCAATAGTTAAGTACTTGGTAGGATATAAAAATTCACAAAATTGTCAATACAAGAACTAACTTATTCCAAAATATATCAGTCCTACAGACTCTAATATTTTGTATGCTACCCTGTCTTTTGGAGAACACATATGGCATAAGCAATTTCAGACCTCACAGCTTCAAAACATATCTTACTTCAGGATGTTTGTTCAGGTAACTAATATCTGCCGGTAATAGTGCATTTAGACAGCCTTTAGAAAGAAGAGACAGATTCAGGGACAGTTATCTCAAAGCCATTATTAGCCATGCAAGCAATGGTTCATTACTAGCCATGAAAATCTCTGCATTCAGAGAAAATGTCTCTCTGGGGCTAAACACGGTATTCCTAGAAAGCTTCCCTCAGGTATCTTGACTGACAGCTGTCAGAGAAAACAGCACTGGATTACATAGACATCTGGTCTGATTTAGAGAGTTGATTTAGGAAGTCTATCACACCCATCTCATTTGCAGGCACACACAGAAAGCATTTTAAGTATCCAATTAAAAATGTAAAATGTGGTTGCAACACACATGTATATAGTACAGTCAAACAACTAGGCAGTAACAATCAAGTTCTTTTATTTGTACTGTACAGAGGAAGGCAATGATAAATCACTTTTGAATATTTATACCTCAAAGACCCTACAATGAGATAATCCAAAATGAAATGAGATAATGCAAAAATAGGAACTACTCAAAAGGAAACCATGGATAGGAATATTGCTATGACACAGAACTGGGACATGAAATGTGAGACATAAGAATAAAGGTAAACTTGAAACTGTAAAAACAAGAAAAAGATAATCTAACAATCTAATAATTAGGGTAAGTTACAGGGATGTGCCATTGTTGCTTTCTTTGACTCCAAATTCTACAAAAATTCTCCAGGAAGAATTCTGAGAGTTCCAGACAACAGACCCACACCTGCAGACTCCTACATTTTGTTCACCTGGACCTCCACATTGTCATCCAAAGGTCCATGGCAGTTTTGGGCTTTCCTATATGTTATCACCGACGTACAGAAGAAGAAGAAGCAAAGTCTGTGCATTCTAGGTCCTTGGGAGGTATCGTCTGTAGGGCTTCTAGGGCAGCTAGATTATGATATCCAGGAACCAGTAAATATTCCTAAACAATTTAAAGGCCATGTAAACAAATCAATTTACATTACTACATTCAGTTGCTCAGGAACCAGAACTATGGATCGAAACTGGAGATATTTCTTTGGATCATAGAAGAATGCAGAAAGTGTGCTTCCGTGATGAAAAGAAAACCCTTAATGGATGACTGATAAAAAGTGCCAAAAAAAGGTAACTTTTTGTTGACAATAAAAGGAAATAGTTTAAAGTCTCTATCTTAGTTCAGTCATTAATCAAAATGGAACCTGGCAGACACAAAACAAGAAAAAGACAGAGACTTGAAAGACCTACTATGAAAAAACTAGAAAAGATGCTCAAGTGTAATCATGTATCACTAAGGTCAAAGATCAAGATCATCCTTACTATGGTATTCCGCATTACTATGTATGTGAGAGAAAGCCAGACAATAAAGAAAGCTCTCAGAAAACAGATCTATTCATTCAAAATAAGTTATTGGAAGAGAGCTCTTCAGATACCATGGACAACAAGGAAGACATATAAATGTGTTCTACATCAAATCAAGCATAAAATCTCACTAGAAGCTAAAATGCCTAAATTGGAGCTATCCTATTTTGGATGTACAGTACTGGACATAAATCAACCAACAGAAACCACACAGAAACCTGTCTCCAACCATTTCAATCTACCAGGACACTCTTCAGAAGACATGAAAGTTGCTATTCTGGAAAAGAAAACCTACAGAATAAGAATACAGAGAGAAACGACAGAGATAAAATGTATATGCACGATGGCCATCCATATAAATTGATTGAATATAAGCCTAGGTTTCTAAAGTGGAAACAACAATAAAGCTGGTCAAACTGGAAGGCAGCCAGGAATGAGAAAGAGAAACATTAGATGGCTTGGCTCCGGCAAAGGAAGCCAGAGCTTTTTGTCTGCAAAAACTGAGCAGGGATGTTAATGAGAGGAGCTTTGGAAATTCAGGAATGCAGAGGGTCACCACTTTCCAGGAAAATTTTACACCAAGAAAACACACACACACACACACACACACAGAGAGAGAGAGAGTAAACCAAGCTACACAAAAAAGCACACTCCAAGCAATAGGTTTCATGTTTAGTATTTATTTATTCCATTTAAGGGAAAGAACCAACTCTTCAAATCAAGCCTCTTTGAACCTGGGAAGTTACTTTTCGGACCACACAGACTACAGTCACAGGACTGGAAAAAACTCTAATTTAAAAGGTAATTTTTCTAAGGCCTGCTTTCCAGAAGAGCCCCCCCTCCTTATTTCTCACTTCCGCAGGGAACCCCCTGGCGCCGTTATCTAACCGCGTCTAACCCGGGCCCCTTTCCGTCACCCCTCCGGCCCCGGCCTTCTCCTCACCATCCAGTCCTTCTTTCCTCCTTCAGTGAGGAGAAAAAACCCTCACTCGGAAACCACCCGCAACACGCACCAATTCAAAAAGCGAGCGTCCGCTCCCCGCCTGCCGCTCATTGGCTGGCTTGACCAACGGAGGGAGAAAGACGGGGCGAAGCGTGGTTCTCTTGGGGAGTCCTATTGGTAGATATTTCCAGCAAGGGGGGAGGGGCTAGAAGTCCCATCATGTTAGGCGCCGCTCCTCCTTTTGCCAGCCTCGGTCGGGAATCGCTATGGTTACCGGCTTGTTTTGGAAGGTTGGTTGAGCGGCGACCTCTTGGAAGACGTTTTGCTATTGGTTGAGCTGGACCGCCTCAGTGGCTCTTTTCACTTCAAACCCGCCCTTGCGGGACGAAACTCACCTGAGGATTGGCTGATGCAGATTTAGCATGTTTTTTTTTTAAATCTATCTTTTTTAACGGCTGGTCCAAATATAAGGGTCTCTAGATACTGCCCTTTATCATTCGCCCCTCAGGGGTTGGCGGGTTCTTCCCCTCACCGAGCAACAGTCCGTCCGAAGCGAAGCTACGCCCCACCTTTGGTGTCCGTTTAAAAATACTATCCTAGTCTCATCCTGGCCACACCCCTTCCCCGCGCAAGGAATCTTGGGAAGCGTAGTTTTATTTAATCAAAACACAGCTGGAGAGGCTTACGAACTCTCTTCCATTCTACGTTGCGGGAAAGGCCCGTTCCTTATACATTCTCAAGTTACATTTGAGTGCTTTAGGCGCACGTGCTCCTGAGTAAACACTGTGTTTCTCTTTCATCCTTTGCACCGATGAAGTTATCTTGGCTGCAAAACATTTGAAAAGTTGTGTGTGTGTTGTTGTTTTTTACAACAACGTCTAGGTTTTCTCAGAATTGTTTTTTTTTTCCAAACTGTGTTACGTTTTTGCATAAGAGATCAATTCTATTCAACAAGTAGGAACTCATTCAAAGTGAACATTTTTACGATCAAATTCAGCCACAGTAGAAAACTTAACTGTTTTTTTTTTCTTAGCATCATATCGCAGCCACGCTAGATAGGCAAGATTAAAATACAGTAACAAATGGTGTATATTTCCAATCTGTACAAAACGGAGTGAAATACAGATTACTATTAGGTATGAGTTCTGAATCTGATTACTGGAGTGACTGAATCATCTGTTAATTGTACAACCCACCGCGCAGACTTTTGCAACCTTAGCTATAGTTTCACTTGAGTCAGAGAGAGGAGAAAAGGGATATAAAAGATATCAGGTCTACCTAGATAACGGTTTAAAATTTGGGAAATATGTGGTTTGTGTGAATTTCCATAAAATGTGTGGTACAACGGGACAGTGGACCACGGTTTCCAACAGACCAGATTGGCAGGGACAAAGCACCTTGGTCATAAGGGATAGATGAACATCTTCCCTCTAAAAAGGCTGAAGGCAGAGCATTGAAATGAGCCAAGGTAAAAGCTCTCCAGTGCCTTTTCAATTGTACATTGTAAAGATAATTTGTTGGGATAAAGATCTTACTGTGATTCCCAGCCACTGCGTAGTCTGATTCTGTATCACAGAGCCACTTCCTAATAGTTTCTTTGGTTCTCATAAATCTCAAATGTAACAGTGTCCAAGGGGGACAGTAATAAATATCATTTTAGAATAGAGCCTACATATATTAATGAAGCCTCTATATATTTATTAAGATGTAGTCCTCACTTCGTGTAATAAGAATTACTCCAAAGTAAACATCCTATTCTGAGATACACATTGCTGTTTACTTACCATATTTATATTTTAGCCTTTCCTGAGAGAGAAGAAGTTTGGGGGAAATCTACATTTGTGTATTTGTATATTCCACATTTCTCCTCACAACAATTTTATGAGGCAGAATGAGTTGCAGGATAATGATTAAGCTTCATTTCTGTACGGGAACTGAATTCTCAATCTTAATCTGACATTCTGATTGTTAAATCCATCATACTGGCATAAGTGAGATATGTTTTAAAATAAATATACATATGGTCAGATTATGTGGCTGCATTCATACATCTACTGGTAAATCAGTCCCATTTAACCCAAATCCTAATTCTATGGCATGTTTTCTTGGAATTAAGTTGCAAAGATCTCAAGAGTGCATGGGTTTGCAGTGTTCCAAATGCAGACTTAGAGTAGCCACATTCCCTGGAGGAGTCTAGGAATTTTAGTCCAAAATACTGTGCTAATTTTTCCAGGCTTGGCCATTGTATTCACGGGGGGGAGGGGGGGGAAGTTATTGGTTCACTTACACAAAACAGAGTACTTATCGATTCTAAAAAAGTAATTGTACACAGAAAATGAACAAAAGGCTAGATTAAACCATTTTTATTTGTAAGGCAAAGCACTATGTCGTGAACCGACAGACAAGCATAGAGGACAGGTGGTGTTAACTAGGCATTCCACAAATTACACGGCTATAGCTGGTGCAATACTAACTGCTGAAAGATACTGATGGCATTTGGTCTCCACCATTGGCAGAGCTGGGGCTGGGCCAAACCCAACCATTAGTTCAGTGCTTTATTAACCCCAACATTGCTGTAAAACTGAAGTTAAGGTGAATGTTATACATCTGTTAATGGCATCAATTCCAAACCCTAAAATAAGTACTTTCAAGGTCCTCATGTAGATGTTGAAAACTATAGGAAATAAGACTAAGTGGACCCTATAACAAATGGCATACAACCAAGCAGTAATGTTTCAGCACAACTTTCTAGAAATGGTCCTCCAAATACAAACGCTATGCTCATGGGACCTATGAAAACTAGCCACTTGTTGGTCTGAGTTATCACAACCCCTGAATTTTCAGATTCTTTGGGCTGTGGCTGTGAGGATTATGAAAATGCCTCTTGAAATTGTGCAATATGAAATGGGTCAAAGTACTGAATGATTCTTTATTGTTCATACATTTCAAAAGTTTCTACTCCCTTAAGCTTATGTGTGGGCCATCTACACAACTGGTAAACAATAATTGCAAGTCTGTGAAGCAACTGCACTTAATGACCTGTTGTATATCAGGTCAAAGAAGATGTAAAATGATCTTCAGGACTAGGTCATGGAGAATTTTTATTTTTTTATTTTTCTCTGGGGTTGGCATTTACCATTCCCAGTTTTGAGAAAAAGGAGATCAGGAAGACAAACAAAACATGGATAAACTATCTTAACCCCATCCACCTATTCTGAAGTATATAGTTATATTTTCTTGCTCTCATTTCAATGGTATCCTGAAGCTGATATACTTAACACTGATCTCGCTCAGCTAGATCCACAAGGATGTTTCAGAGATCATTAACGGAACTCTTTGAATCATAGATCAGAAGACTCTGGAGTAAAGGGGGGAAATCCAGATTCTTTAGTTTATGCATATGTAGCCTACATCTGATTGCTAGTTCCAACTAGAGGAGACTATTTGAATCAATGGGATAAACATGGATCATGTTCAACAGATGATTCAAAGATTCACTTCAGTTGGGAGTAGGGCATTTAAGCCTATATTTCTGAGGAGAAAGCTATGCATTTCATCCATTTCTAATTATCAAATATAAGAATGCTTTTATTGTCTGAAATCCCGAGGGTTGAGTTCAAATACCTAATAAAGCCAGTCTTGTGTGTGTTTCTTTGCAAGTCTCACCAGTTTTCTATTAAAATTAATGTTTCTTCACGGGCAAATTTATAAGGTGGAATTTATCTCTTAAGAACATGTACAAATGAGCACAGGGAAGTGTTTGTAATAATACAATATTTACTATGATCTTGACTCCACGGCTGTGTTACAATACTAAAATCCGCAACATATATTATATTCTCTATTCATTTTCTTTTCGGGACCCAATCATAAAACATTTTCCAACTTTCCTTAACATATATTCTTGGGTTCTCATGTAATGCTTCCGACAAGCTATCAATTTCTGCAGTATCGAATACTTTTTTTAAACAGGTCCTCTATCTTTGGATTTTCCTGATTTTTCAGTTTTTGGGCCAAGATTAAACTTGCAGCTGTAAATATGTGCAGCAACATATATTTAATTTTTTTAATCAATGATTTCCTGGCATTATATTCAGTGGTTTAAAAGCTATTTTCAATTGTGTAATTTCTTGTGTAATATCTTTTATCTGTCTCCAAAATCTTTTTACTCTATCGCATGTCCACCACATATGAAAAAAAAAGTCCCAGGTTGCTGAGAACACTTCCAACATGAGTTGTTTTGTTTTGTTTTAATTTCCTCCCCCCCGTATTTGTATTCCTTTGATTGTTGTTTCTTTGTTTGTTGTATAATAATAAAATTTAGAATAAAAAAAGAGCATGTACAAATGTGTAGCACAGTGGAAGGGAAATGAGTCAAGATCCTGTGATTTTGCTCAGTACTTTCTCACATTCTGAGCATATCTTCATCCTTAGACATGCTAAACACAAACCAGAGTTTGAAACAGGGCAGACAAGATGTTAAACTCAATGTCATTTGGTGCTTTTTATCAATTGTTGTTAGGGGGAGGGGTTGACCAGAGAGAAGGTACATAAGGTATTATAGGCAGAGTTCAATTCTAAGTAACACTTTAGTTGATTAAAATTTAGGTGGCTGTGCTTAGTGGTCCATTGAATCAATGGGACTTGCATAACTCTTCACTTAACAAATCCCATTTGTTCAAGGAATATGCTTGGGATTAAAAACTGGATTTAGTTGCTGATATTTAAGTTATGATTCATACTTGTTCACCACAAATTGTGGCTCCAAGTTCTTATATAGAGGGTCAGCAAACCATCCTTTGCTGATTCAAACATCACCACGATCAATGTTTTATTGTAAAGAGAAGGCTAAGGGGAGGGGAGGGAGCATGTGAGCATATAGCTAATTCCTAATCCCCCAAGGCGCTAGCTGAACAGGACTTTTCTGTCTTGTCTCTCGGCGTTCTGCTGTTTCTTCACCCATGAGCTGTGAAGATTCCACCAGCCAGTTATTTGCAAATGCATGCCAAGACTAGCACCAAGAATTGGCATCATCGTGCATCTGTTAAGAGACAGATCCAGAGGGCGATGAT